GTGCCCCTGGAAGGGGGCGCTGCAGCTTGGCACCAAGTGCTTTCTCACGACGAACCAAGTCCGAGACAGCAACAAAATAAACAGTTTTTTCATAGCGAATGCACACTGTAGAAGTCTAGCAGAGGCCGTCGGGTTTGATCACGACGACGCCAGCCTCGCCGTCATCGAAAGCGATGCAGAATTCAACCTTGTTGGAGTGAGCGGCTGCTGCTGTTTCTGCTTTTGCTGTTGGTGCTGCTACTGTTGCTGCTGTTAGCGTTGTTGTTGTGAGCTGTCTGCCGTGGATTTGCTGGTACTCGCGGGCTAGGCCACCTCTAAGATAGGAGGGTAAGAAGTTACGACGCTCGACTTGAATGCGAATGCACGCAGGAGATGACGGCGGGAGGCGAAGAGTCATGGCTGGGTTTGTTTCAGTCTGGGCAGTCTCCGCTGGTGGTTAATGGAGTAGGGGCTGCAGGCAGACGCAAAGAAGAGGGCTGTCCTGATGCTGCCTTGACCTCCCCCGACAAACTCGGCAACCGCTTCAGCGCCATTGTCGCCGCCTGCCCAGCTGCACGCACTTGGCCCCCTTGGAAGCCGATCAGCAACGCACACTCCAGACCCGCGTAAGACCAGCGGAATCCTGCAGATTCTGGCCCTCTAGAACTGCTCCAGCTGCAGAAGCTGCAACAGCAGAGGTCACCGCGGTACTGTGGGTTAATACCGTGCTAACTCGTGCCAGCTTGCATAGAAGGTTGATGTGGGCTCTGAAGCACTTCTCGGCTGCACAAGTAGGAGGTGGTGTTTTTCTCTGGTGCATGCATGCATGCGTTGCAGATGGGATCCTATCTTCTGTGATGGACAGCCTCAAGACGTAGACGGGGAGAAGTTCGCTGACTGCGCTTCTCTTGTTCAACAGGAGGCGGGGCCCCCCTGTTTGCGGGCGCGGAGTTGCGACGCCTCCTTCTCGGCTGTCTGCGCCCTCCGGCTCAGGACAGGTACACACACGGCTTACATGCGCAGCAGAGAAGCAGCAATTGCTGCGACTTGGTTCCCTCCCCAGTTTCA